AGGATGGAAAATGCCAAGTTCCTAGGAAAGGGAGTGAGTGTAAATGTAGATTCCTATAACAGGGAAATGTTTTGACCTTGTACTGGCTACCATGTATCACTGTCGGCCTCCCTTTGTCCCATCCTGATTGATATTTGTCAGATTGTTGAGAAAAGGAAGCTTAGAGTTTGAAATACATTTAGGAAACTTCTGGTTCAGTGGTTTCGAAACACTGTCTGAATTAGTGGGAAGCTTGTTAAAAATACACATGTCTAGGCCTTGCTCCTCATCCAAGAAATTCAAATCTCTACCATTGAGCTAAAGAAGCCTTATTTCTAATAAATCTTCTGGGTGAGTCTGACATGCAGGCAAGTTTGAAAACTATTAATCTAGTTGAACTTTCTACCTATCATAGGATTTCCCACTGCATCCTGTATACTCAAAGTGAGGTTCAAGGACAGCAGCGTTGTAATCTCCCAGGAGCTGTTTAGAAATATAGAATCTGGGGGCACCTGGGTGGCTCAGTGGGTTGAGCCTCTGCCTTCAGGTTGGGTCATGATCCCAGAGTCCTAGGATCCAGCCCCGCGTCGGGCTCTCTGCTCAGCAGGGAGCCTGCTTCCTCCTCTCTCTCTGTCTGCCTCTCTGCCTACTTGTGATCTCTGTCGCAAATAAATAAATAAAATCTTAAAAAAAAAAAAAAAGTATAGAATCCCAAGCCTTATCCCGGACTGCCCATTCAGAATCTGCATCTTTCATAAGATCATTTACATCAAAGCCGAAGAGGCACTGCTCGTCCTCATCCTTGACAGATGGCCACCAAGTCACTGCTTACAACCTCCAGGTTGGGGAGCTCATTGCTTTCGGTAGCAACCTGCTTATTTGCTCGGTGCTTTTTTTTTTTCCTCTTCTTTTTAAAAAATTTTTATTTATTTATTAAAAGATTTTATTTATTTATTTGACAGACAGAGATCACAAGAAGGCAGAGAGGCAGAGAGAGAGCGGGAAGCAGGCTCCCTTCTGAGCAGAGAGCCCGATGCGGGGCTCAATCCCAGAACCCCGAGATCATGACCTGAGCTGAAGGCAGAGGCTTAACCCACTGAGCCACCCAGGCACCCCTAAAATTTTTTATTTATTTGACAGAGGGAGTGAGAGAGCACAAGCAGGGGGAACAGCAGAGGGACAGGGAGAAGCAGGCTTCCCACTGAGCTGGGACTCCCGATGTGGGCCTTGATTCTAGGACCCTGGGATCATGACCTGAGCCAAAGGCAGATGCTTAACCAAAGGAGCCACCCAGGTGCCCCCAGAGGAAATTAAAAGAACTATGAGGATACCAAGGGAGAGAGGAGCACGGAAGGTGAATTTTAAAGTCCTTGTATTTCTTTTTTTTTTTTTTTTTAAAGATTTTATTTATTTATTTGACAGAGAGAGATCACAAACAGGCAGAGAGGCAGGCAGAGAGAGAGGAGGAAGCAGGCTCCCCGCTGAGCAGAAAGCCTGATATGGGGCTCGATCCCAGGACTCTGAGATCACGATCCGAGCCGAAGGCAGCGGCCTAACCCACTGAGCCACCCAGGTGCCCCAAGTCCTTGTATTTCTAAAAATTGAAACTTCTTGGAGGGGGGAGGGGCCGTAGAAGCCAATGTCATCAGAGTTCTACTATTTAGAACACTCCTATTGCTCCAAGTCTTGACATGTCCCTGAAGACCTGGGGTAACCTGTTGGGATACACTGTAGGGAAAATGGGGCTGCCCAAGATAAAAGCAGTTAATTATCAGAAACAGGGTATACTTCTTGGGCAAAGGCACTTGAGATCTGACTAGGGCATATGAAGGAACATCTTCAGAAGCTGAGCTTCTGGGTACTGCGGACCTATTTTATTCTCCTACCAACTCTGGTGATGTCAGTGTGCAAACACCCATGTTGTCCCACCTATTCCACCTGTTCATACACTGCCTGGAAAAAGCAAGGGAAAGGAATGCCCTGAATGAGTTGGCCTGGGTTTAGCCCCACTCACATGCCGGTGTTTCCTAGGATCACCTCCCTCAAACGTACTTGTAACAGATGCTGTTGGTGCCCTGCCCAGGTCCCCCTGACCAGCTGCTAAGCACGCTGTCAACAGCTCATACAATGACCTACCTCAGGATTGCTCTAATGGGTGCTCCCTAGCCCAGAGGTGCCTAAGAGGTTCCATTCTGCTTCTTTCAAGGAATCAATCATTTCTCCAATGAGCCCTGATGGCTTTGTAATGTAGAATGGTATGGTAGTAAGAAACCAAGGTCTGGGTATGGGATTAACTAATTGGCCTGTATTCAAGTTTGCTGATTCATTCTTCTGCCAGTGCTAATGTGCTACGGAGGTTCTCTAGTGAATTTTCATTTCATTTATTGTTCTCTCCAATTCCAGAATTTCTATTGTTTCTTTTCAAAAATAAGTTATATTTCTTTACTGATATTCTCTGTTTGGTGAGACATCACTCTCTTACATGCCTTTCATTCTTCAGACATAGTTTCCTTTAGTTCTTTGAACATATTTATATAAAAATTCTTTTCATATAAACATTATACATTTATAAGGTCTCTATTTCTCATATATGGATATAGATATGATAGAGTCAAGCAACTCATGTCTTTCCTGGATATACACACCACCCTGCACATGTATGTGGTCTTCTAGATTTCCAGGATAATATCAGAGCTTTGGAAAACTCCAATGGGCATATCAGTTCCCAGTTTTTCCTTTCGAGGCTTTGGTTAGTTTCTTGGTTGTTTCACATATTATCAACATCTCAAGCAGCTGCAGTATTAAGAAACTGCAATGATAAACAAAAGCAATGTCATTGCTTTTGACATTCCCCCAAGGGGAAATGGCTATTCACAGTAAGCTTGAGCTGGGGAGAGGAAAGAGGACAATTAAAATGCCGCATATCTCTCGGTTCCTACTGAAATATGGCTGTTTTGCTTGAATAAATGCTCCTTGGATTATCGCATGCCTTTGGTTAACTTCTAAATTTCTGAAAAAGTTGATGATAAGTGTTGCCAGCGTTCTCACTGCTTTTATGAACAAGGCAGTTTTTGAGATTCTTCCTCCACCATTCTAGATGTGGCTTTTAAAAAAAAATTGTCTTTATGTTTCCTATTTAATCGATTTCTGCTCTTAGGTTTATTGTTCTTTCCCTGCTTCTTACTTTGGTTTTATTTTCTTCCTAGATTATTAAAACTGAAATTTAGATTATTGGTTTGAGAGTTCTTTTCTTATAGAAGCATTTATACTATAAAGTTCTCTCTAAGCATACCCAACATTTTGATACATTGTATTTTCCTTTTCATTCAGTTCAAGATATTTCCTAATTTCCATTATGACTTCTTTCTTGAAAAATTGATTATTTAGATGTTAAATACCAACTATTCGGAGTTTTCCAGATTAATTTCTGCCTTTTTTTTTTTTTAGCTTATTTATTTGTCAGAGAGAGCGAGAGAGAGAGAGAAAACACAAGCAGGGGGAGCAGCAGGCAGAGGCAGAAGCAGGCTCCCCGCTGAGCAGGGAGCCAGATGCGGGGCTGGATGCCGGGACCCTGAGATCATGACCTGAGCTGAAGGCAGAGGCTTAACCCACTGAGCCCTCCAGGTGCCCCTACACTAAACTCTTGCTGCATGCTCCGCCTTTGTCATTTGTTGTTCGTGAGGCATAGTGTTGTCTACTTACAATTTTAAAAGGAGAAATGAGACTATTTCTTAAGAGCAAGTATTCTGAAGCCTCCATAGTTCCATCTGTTGAAATAATTGTTTTCCACGTTGGAGATTGTGTGCCTTTATGGACTAATGAGCTCAGTGGTTGGTGAGAGGCTGCAAGGCAGAATGGAAGGTGTTTAGGCTTCGAAAGAAGGACCTGGATCCCAGCTCCTTCACCACTTAACGAGAGTTCAACCTTAGTAAGCCCATGAAGCCCTGGCCTTCCCTGACTTCATCCATTACATGGAAGTAGCAATGCCTACTTAAGGGTTTTCTATGAGGATTAGGGACAATGCAAACAGAGTGCCCAGGTTGTATTAGATACTAAATAAGTGGCACTATTATTATGGTGAGTCCTTGGTGTTACACAACAGCAGCTATGCTGTCCAGGACTCCCAGTGCCATATAATCAAACTGGCATGAGATTACTGAGTTCAGGGGACAACTGCTTACTCTTTTGGGGGAGTGGCAAATGTCAAAGGTTGATTAACTGTTGACCTAACCCAAGGTGCCAGGGAGCCAGACTCCTGGTTAAGATGTGTCCCTGCTTTGATCGTCCAATGAAGCATAACTTCTGGATAGCACTTTGCTGACTTTTCAGGAGGCCAGTAGAATATCTTAAGGTGGCTTAAAAATCCGGAAATAACACATACAGGGGAAAACCCAGTTCAATAATAACAAATTTTCCTTCCTTACTGTCAGCTTCCTTGTTTCTTCCTTCTCCGGCTCAGTGAATACCAACACAAGGACTACTAACTCTTCTGACACTTTTTTGGGTTTTCTTCCAAGAATATATTTTCTTGTCTGAGTAAGTGCCAACGCCTTCCCTGACTCCTTTGGGAAGAATGGGTGCATTCTGTGAGTCACGTCCACCGATTTTCAGGACAGTTTCCGAGCATTCTGTGGAAGGCAGTGCGGCGTGGTGAGAAAAGTCGAATCCGGGACTCAGGTCACCTGGGTCTGGTCCCCCATCACCATTTCTGAATCTACCTGAAAGGGGCCGATGGCAATGCCTTGGTCTCCTCATTTGTAAAGTGCATCAAGTGCAGTCTTAGGTGTGAGCGAGCTTTGTCGCACACGTGGTAAGCGGTGACCCCGCAGTACCCCAAACGGACCGCGCTCACAGCCTCCAACAGGGTCCAACCCGCTTCGGGCGCGCGCCTATGGCGCAGCGCCGGGAACCTTAGGTTGCGCGCGCAGCATCTCTTCCGCCTCCCGAGCCCCGCGTCCCTGTTGCCAGGGGAACTGGGGGCGGTGCGCTTTCCGGCGCTGTCGCGGCGAGTCACAGCTGTCATGGCGGAGACGGTCTGGAGCACTGACACCGGGGAGGCTGTGTATCGCTCCCGGGACCCCGTGCGCAACTTGCGCCTCCGGTAGTCGCATCGTCCCAGAGCCCTGTGCTTTTATGCTCTCAGATAATTCGAGCCTGAACCTCACTTCTTGTTTGCTGAGTCCCCACTTGCGCTTTCAATCCCGACTCTGCCTCCTGGTCTCCCGGCGTCTCCCACACTACCCTCAACCCGCTCCACTTACGGCTTCCAGACCTACCCAAACCCTTTCAAGCCTCTGCCCTTCTCAAATTCCTCAGAGCTCTGTACCCAATGCACTTATCCGCACTCTTCCCCTTAAGACCCCCGGCCGTGCTCACGCGCACACAACACACCTTGGAGCCCCACCCTCTTCTTTATTTTGTTCCTCCCATCTTTGCTCTGTGTTCATCTTCAGGTTGTGTGTCTTGTAATGAGTGTTCTGGGCTTTTCTTTTCCTGACAGAGTCCACCTGCAAAGAATCACATCCAGCAACTTCCTCCGTTACCAGCCTGCTGCCCAGCCTGGGAAGGACCTCATAGACTTGGCCACTTTTAGGCCTCACCCAACTGCCAGTGGGTGTATGGTGGTGATGCGACCCCTTGGGGACCTGGGGAAGGGCCTGGAGCGGTAGTTGCCTTTTAAGACAGAGTAGGCCCAGATCTGTAGACTGAGAAAAGGCATAGAGAGGTTGTGTTCCTTGCCCAGGGTCACGTGGTTGGTAAATGTTGAAGCAAGGATTTTATCTCAAGCAATTTTAACTATTCCGTTATGTTGTGTTAAGAAAATTGAGTAAGACATGATTCTTGCCATCAAGAGCTGAACTGAACTATGGCCAGATGTTGTAAAATAACAGAAGACTACACTTTTGATATGTTAAACATCTGCTGGCAAACTAGATACTGATTGTGGCATTTTTTGCTAAGAGAAAATATGCTCCAAACTCCTAATGTATGTGTATACTATACATAAATGTCTGTACTATGCCTACATATATACATAGTGTGTGTGTACTACATACATGTATATAGTGTATAAATGTATACTTTAAATACATATATATTTATATGTATATTTATGCCCACTACCTAAAACAATTTTAAAATTGGGGTCTGCTTGAAAAACGTACATATTAACATCAACTGTGCTTCTGCAGTTTCCTTATCTCAGAAGCCAGAAGAATGAGAAAGAGAGGACAGTGTGTTTGTGTTAAATCACTAGTCTCTCTGCATTTGTTGTATCTGTTCAGATATATTCCCAGGCATGAGTGTGGGCTGGTGTGTTTTGAAGCACATGTCTCAAAAAGGCATACTCAGCCAAGAGTGTATTCGGTTTGTTTCTTTAAATAATAACTTATTTGCTTTTCCTCTTCTCTTCTGGTGCTTTGCCTCCTAAGGTTACAGTGCCTGTGGTTCTAGACGTATGGCTTCAGGAACAGTAAAGACAAGGACGCCAGGGCTCCTTTCTAGCAAATGTGGACAGTTGGGATTGAGGAAGAGCTATCCAGACTATATTCTGAATTTGACTCCTGACATTGAATTAGATTAAATAATTCCTGGGAGCCATGCTTTCCTTTTATTCAAATTACAGTGATAATTAAGACTGCTTAGGTCCTAGTCTTGGCTTCTATATACATCCTCAGCCTCTCCAACCTTTGTTTAGGGTGAGCGCTTAATAAATCCCCAAACTCCAGCTGGTTTTGTGGCAAATATTAGAGCAGGGACTTGGGTTATAACCAGTCACAGAGCGAAAGGTGGGGCTGATTTGACTCAAACGTTTGACTCACTCTGTGGTCTTTGGAGGTGGACACCGCTCAGAGGAAGAGGAAGAGGAAGAGGTCGTGATTGGGTGGCAGGAGAAGCTCTTCAGCCAGGTGAGCCCATGCCACCTCTCCACTCAGTTTACATCCACCTACTTCGCCTTCACCTGGCTGGTAGCAGGGAAGCCTTCCTGATACATATCGCCTAACTGATTTCCAGAAAATTATAGCAGTTTATACTTTTCCCTGTTTTTTTTTTTTTTTTTAAGATTTTATCCTTTTGTTTGGGTGGAGGGAGGGAGAGAGAGCATGAGTGGGGGGAGTGGCAGAGGGAGAGGGAGAAACAGACTCTCCATGGAGCATGGAGCCTGACATGGGGCTCGATCCCAGGATCTGGAGATCATGAACTGAGCCAAAGGCAGACCTGCTTAACCGACTGAGCCACACAGGTGCCGCCCCCCTAAGCCCCCATTGTGTTTAAAGGGCAATATAACATAGTGAATGACACTACCCAGTTCTGTGATCCTGGGTAAAACACTTGTCACTTCTGGGTGAAATCTGCTGTCTGTAACAGGGTCTGGACCCAGACCTAGACCAGGGTCTAATTGGACTAGACCCTCACTCTGGTTCCATTTAGCTCTAACATTCTTTGGATCCCCTGCCCTCAGTTAGTTCAGATAAGTGGAAGTTGGCTATGGGAACATATCGAATTGCATTGGCTCTATAGGACTGATTTGACGAAACAGTTACAGAAACAAAAGTTTGACATATTCTCAGTAGATCTCTGTGTCCTTGTGACCTCAGTTTGAAGTAGATCTGTACCAAAACGAAGCAGCTTGTCAGAGCCCTTTGGATCATCAGTACCGACAAGAGATCCTGAAACTGGAGGATTCGGGTGGCAGGAAGAACCGACGAATTTTTACCTACACAGACTCTGATAGATACACCAATGTGGAGGAGGTATTGTTTTTCCTGGGCTCCCATAGCTTCCTTCTTTCCCTCCCCTAGCTTTCTGGCCTCATTGGGTTCTGTGTGTTAAACCAGAAGCCTGTTCAGACAGGCAGCCTCTCCAGAAACTGCCTTGTGCTGCTGGTAGCCAAGCTGGAGTCCGGGCCCAGTCTTCAGGTGGTTGGCTGCTGCTCCTTCACCTGCTGGAGGGCCTGGGGGAACGGGCAGTGTCTCTCATGATAAGCAGGCTAGAGACCCGGGGAAGACTTCCTCCCTGCATCATGAGATGAGGCAGGTGGGTGGAGCCTTGAACCATCTAAATAATGCAGCCACAACTCTGAATCTATAGGTTTCAAGAAGGATTCAGTACAGCTGTGGGGGGTGGCTTAGTGCTCCGTTCCCCAGTGCTCACAAACCCTTACGTTTGCCTCAGTCCCTGTATGACATATTCTTTCTTCTCAGGAGATTTTTAAAATTCCTTGAGAGAAAAGCCTGTATTTTCTGATTTTTGCCTATGACCTTTGTAGCTCTGTAAGGAGCAGGTATTAAATGAATGTTTTTGAAAGACTGATGCTTATATTAGGTAGCATACAAAAGTTGGGTTTTCTGTTTTAGAAAAGTAAATGAAATTAGTTAGTGCTGAATTACCCATGGGAGGACTTTTCACAGGATACTTTATATCCCATTTGGCATCTTCCAAGTACCTGGTAACATCAGCATCTACCAGGCACACTCACCCAACTTTTTGTTGGTATGTACTTAGAGATTGCAGACTCGTTTATTTTTTTTAAAAGATTTATTTATTTGAGAGAGAGAGCACGTGCATGGTGGGGTAGGGGCAGAGGGAGAGAAAGAGAGAATCTCCAGCAGATTCCGGTGCTGAGCGTAGAGCCCGATGAGGGGCTCGATCCCAGGACCCCAAAGATCATGACCTGAGGCAAAACCACGAATCAAACATTCAACCGACTGTGCCACCCAGGCGCCCCTGCAGACAGACTCATTTTAATATTAGCATAAATAAACTCATTTCTGAAGGATGATATGCTGCTAAAATCTTGGAACAAACCAAGGCATGGTAGGAATCTTCTTTGGCTTCTTTGTGCCACTGCTCCCCTCCCCTAACGTTTATAACTGTGAGGTGGGTGTACCCCTTAGATACAGGTTCCAGATGAGGTTTCAAAAGGAGGGCTGCCTTCAGCACTTCATCCCACGTGGCCCTGACCAGATGGGTCACACAGGGCTGTTCTCCTTCCCTAGCACTGTCAGAAAATGACCACCGCAGCCCAGGAGGCACCATCATTCTTGGTTGAACGGATGGCCAATGTCAGGCGGCGACGGCAGGACAGGCGAGGGATGTGAGTACAAATAAGTAGGGGGTTGGGGCGGGGGGCTTTGTAGTCCTTCCAGGCCAGTGTCTGGGTATGTCTGCCACCTCGAGCTTCCTGTTCTGCAGGAGGCCTCCTCCGGGTGTGCTCCCCCAGGTGCTTCCTTTGGGCTCTTCAGGGGGTGCTGCCTTCCTGTGGTGTCTTCCAGGGAGGGCGGCATCCTCAAGTCACGGATTGTCACCTGGGAACCCTCAGAAGAGTTTATCAGGAACAACCATGTCATCAACACCCCTCTTCAGACAATGTACATCATGGCAGACCTGGGACCCTACGGGAAGTGAGTGAAGCCCTCACTGCCCAGCTCAGATCCTCCTCCTCATCACCCATCACGTACCCTGTTATAGTCCCCCTGGGGAATGCAGAAGGGAGGGACTGTTTCTTCTTTTTCTTAGTCGTACTCAGAAGAAGGCATTTGACCATGACAATTCTCACTCCAGCCTCTGTCCTCTCCCCTGACGTGGGCTGACTACCTCTTCCTCTCTCCGGTTAGTGGGACCAGCAGTGTTGAACCGGGTGTTGATTTCCTGGTTTCTAGGCTTGGCTATAAGAAGTATGAACATGTCCTCTGTACTCTGAAAGTGGACAGCAATGGTGTGATCACAGTAAAACCTGACTTCACTGGCCTCAAAGGACCCTACAGGTGAGGAGAGGAAGAGAGGGGGCATGGGGACTGGCATTCCTTTTCTTGGCTTCACTTCTTGCCCCAAATTGAGGAGATTCTGAGAAAGTCCTTCATTTGTCCTGGTTTCTAAATTCCCAGGTAATGGTTCATATTCTGTTTTATAAGAGACCTTTAGCATCCTGGGGACCCTGTTCTCGGAAAGTGGGCAGCTGTACCAGTTTGAAAGGGCTAAGTAACTTCATTGGCGTAGTTAAGTGAAAATAATTCTCTGTGCTGCTGCCTGCAGGGACCAGCCAGAGCAGGGTGGGACGAGCTCAGCCAGGTCTCTTCCTCTGGTCTGACTCTTGCTACCTCCCTGTCTTACAGTAAAAGAGCTATAAATTAGAAATGACCTAAGGCTACCTGTTTGTTTTTCAGGCGAGAGAACTGGTTGCCAGGAATGTCATGCTTTAGGGTTTCCACATGACTTTGAGGCAGAAATGGGCCCCCAACCCACGCTCCATGTCCACTCTAATGCTCTTTCTGCTTTTCCATTTTGTTTCCCTCACCTGCTCATCTCTCTGGCCACTTTCGTCCTCATTTGCTTCGAGCAAGGTGTGTGGCCAATGATGGCTCATTCCTGGGCTAGGTCTGGAGAGATCTCATCAGAGCTGGTCTTTCTGTGGCTTTGACTTTACAGAATTGAGACCGAGGGGGAGAAGCAGGAGCTGTGGAAGTATACAGTGGACAATGTGTCCTCCCTCGCGCAGCCAGAGGAGGAGGAGAGGGAACAGCGTGTGTTCAAGGATGTAAGAGTGACCTCCTTCCAAGTGCAGGGATGAGCCTGGGTGCCTGGGAGCTGAGAGCATGTCTGAGGTTCATGCCCACAGTTGCAGGGTCTTTCTTACTGGCCCTCTCCTGACATAGGAAGCATTGCTGACATATCAGACCTGAGCTTTTGATCCTACCATAACATCATAATAATAACAATGACCATTTATTTGAGCATGTACCATGCTCTGTGAGGCCTGTCACATACTTTATTTCCTCACTTTAAGGTGAATGCTTTTATTATTACCATTTTATAAACGAGGAAACTGAGATTGAAAAGCTAAGAAGTCTGCCCAAGGTCATAGGGCTTATAAGTGCCAGGGACAGGACTGGGCCCCAGACCAGCAGACTCTGGAGCCTCTGTGCTTTACTTGAAAAAGTTGGCGGTGTGGATGGTTCAGCCTGGGCTCTCTGTGGCATTTCCTGTTACAGTGTCTTTTGTCCCTCCCATTCAGAACTGACCCTGGTCTGGCTGGGTTTGCATCTTGAGTTTGCTTATGGTTTGTTTCTTCAGCTTTATGGCCGGCACAAGGAGTATCTCAGCAGCCTCGTGGGCACAGACTTTGAGATGGTGAGTGGCTTGGCTTCCTGCCCCACCACGAGCCGGCTTTAGCCAGAGCATTCGGACTGTGGCTGAGTAACAGCGTGTCTCTTAAAGGACATATGCTTCATGCCAGAAGGAAATCAGAGACTAGCATATAGAACACAGTTCTTGTTATGTGTTTTAAAATATAGCAGAGGTGCATGGGTGGCTCAGTTGGTTAAGCCTCTGACTCTTGATTTCAGCTCAGGCTGTGATCTCATGAGATAAGGGTCATGAGATAAGCCCCGCGTTGGGCTCCATGCTCAGCGCAGAGTCTGCTTGAGATCCTCTCCCTCTACACCTCCCGCCCACCCCCCAGCCTCGCTCGTGTGAGGGGGGCGCGGGGAGGAAGCAACGGCAGTGCATATGGCCGCTGCCAGTGTCAGGTCTTCCAGGGATTGGTGAACGGGCTGGAGGACGAGTGCTGACTCCCCTGGACTCCCTGGCTCCTGATCCTGTCCCACTTCTCTCTTCTTTAGACTGTACCAGGTGCCCTCCGGCTCTTTGTAAATGGAGAGGTGGGTAAGTGCCTTGCCAGACAGGGATCCCCTGATGCTTGGGCAAGGCCTGGACAGCTGTGAGGTAATCCGCCCCACCCTGGTGGAGGTGCTGGCTTGTCTGCCCTACTTGGGAAACTCAGTCGTGAGCCTTTCCTGGAAGCGCAGGGAGTTCCTCGCCCTCAAGGGCCTTGCTTCCCGAAGTGCATAGGCCCTTTAGGACAGGGTTGAGTGCTAAGGGCTACAGGAGAATAAGCTAAAATCGTTTCTTGTTTTCTTAGTTTCAGCACAAGGCTATGAGTATGACAATCTCTACGTTCACTTCTTTGTGGAATTGCCATCTACTAGTAAGTAATATTCCCAAGTTTCTTTTATACCCATTCTGACAGTTTTGTAGAGGCATTAAGTCAGGCTTCCCCACTTTGTTTTTTTTGTTTTTTTTTTAAGATTTTATTTATTTATTTGACAGACAGAGATCACAAGTAGGCAGAGAGGCAGGCAGAGAGAGAGGGGGAAGCAGGCTCCCCGTTTGAGCAGAGAGCCCGATGTGGGGCTCGATCCCAGGACCCTGGGATCATGACCTGAGCCGAAGGCAGAGGCTTAACCCACTGAGCCACCCAGGCGCCCCAGGCTTCCCCACTTTTTTCAAAGAAACTGTGACTGTTCTTTTCAAGGTCATAGATCACTTTCAAGTGGTCAAATCCTGTGGTGACATCTTTGCATTCCTGCTACATGACCTCTGAGAAGCAAGTGGCACAGCTCACGTTTCCTCACTCGAACTCTCCTCTTGGCTTCTGGCTCCACGCTCCTCTCTTTGTTCTCATTGGTGGCTCATGAGTCCCCTTGGCTCTTGGCTCATCTGTTGGTCTCAGAGCTGTAGAGTGTCCAGGGCTGGGCCTGGGCCTTCTATTACTCCCTCTCTGTAGTCTTTCTAGGTGGTTCCATCCTTCTCATGGCTTGTCTACTACGTATGTCTCAGGCCCCTAGTATTCTCTCTAGCCTTGGCCTTTCCCCCGAGCTTCAGGCTCATATCCGCTTGTCATTCCTGCCTAACATGATCCAAAGAACTCTTGATTCTCCCTCCTGTGTCAAACCGGCCTTCATGGTCTTCCCTAAGGGACATGATGTTGTCATTTACTTAGTTGCTGCTGCCAACCAACAATCGAGACATCCTCGATTCCTCACTTTCTCTAGCCCCCCACAGCTAGTCATTCCCTCAACAGTCTCGGTCGGCTCTATCTTCCAAAGACGCCCCCGGCTCCTCCATCAAGCGCCTTATACCAAGCCTCCTCCACCTCCTGCCCAGGCCCATGAATTAACTTTCTGACTTACCCCTTTGCTTCCTTTACAGTTCATTTGCCACAGACACCACAACCAAATGGAACCTTTGAAAAATGTAAATTAGTTGTATCTTTCTTGAACTTTAAACCCCAACAGCTTTCCCTCCCACTTAGAGTAAAATCCCAGCTCCAAAGCCGGAGCAAGCTGGCCCCTGCCCATCTCTCCCTTACAATATTCCAGTCATACTTTCTGTTTTTGAACATGCCAAGTTCATTTCCTCCTTAGGGCCTTTTGGAGGTCATTTCCTTTGTCTAAAACCCTTTCTGTCATATCTTTGCACGACTGAGTTCAGGTCTCAGCCTAAGTGTCCCCTCTGAGAGGTCCTCCCTCACCACCTGATCTAAGAGCCTGCTCTGTATTTAGTATGGCCTCTGTCACTACCTGATAGCCTCTTGTTGGTTTGTTGTCTGTGTTCCCCGCAAGCTGGCATGGTAGCTCCTTGAGAGACAGGGATCACTTCTGTTTGCCCACCACTATATCCCCAGTGACTGGTCGTGGCACATAGGAGACACTCAGCAAATGTTAGATGAACGATGGTGTGTGTGAACGCATGAAGAGGTGAAGGAACTTTGTTCTTTTCTCAACTCCCTACCTCCTTCCCAGGTCAGTTTACCATATATGGTCTTTGGCTTTCAGATTGGTCAAGCCCAACATTCCAGCAGCTCTCAGGAATAACACAGACCTGTGCCACCAAATCCCTGGGGATGGTACGGAAGACAGGAGGGCTCTCTGGCCAGGAGCGGGACTCTGGAGATTATCAGGCCGCCAGCCGGGGGGAGCAGTCAGAGTTGCGTCCGGCCCTTCTCTGCAGGCTCTCAGGCTGCCGCCTGGTGCAGGGCTTCCCTCTCTGTCTTTCTGAGGATGGTAGCAGCTTATATGTGGGTGCCCCGTCCCCTCTCAGCCTCTTATTTCCCCTGTTGGGGGGGGATAGTTTTTCTTTCTCCCTTGTGAAGGTGTCACTGGCCTCAGAGAGAACAGATTCTCAGTGAGGCCTTGCCTACCCCATGACCCTGAGTATAAAATAACACTTCTCTTGTTTAGGATAAGGTGGCTTACTTCTCCTACCCGTTCACATTTGAGGCCTCCTTCCTCCATGAAGACGAATCTGCTGGTGAGTAGCTCAGTAGATCCTGGGCCCAGGCTGTCCACTGGTGGGGGGAAGGCCTCCTGTGACCTGGCTGCTTCTCTCACTTTTCCCAGATGCCCTCCCGGAGTGGCCTGTGCTCTACTGTGAGGTCCTCTCACTGGACTTCTGGCAGAGGTATCGTGTGGAAGGCTATGGCGCTGTGGTGCTGCCTGCCACCCCAGGTGACGTCTCGTCCTCGCCCTCCACGTGGCCCACGTGCCCCAGCTCCAAGGACTGAGACTAATACTTCTCAAACATTTGGCCTCTCCCAGGGAGGAGGAGGCACAATTAGGAATTAGAAGCATTGAATTTGCTGGATTCCTTGCTCCTTTGAGGCCTTCTCCCTGCTCCCTGAGAGACAGCCGAGCGAGCCTGCAGCTGACTCGGAAGCCGAGCAGCCCGGGCGTCTGTGGCATCTGCTCCGAGCACCTCTGTTTTGACTAGCAGCCTAGAGGGAGGCGCTCAGGCAGGGTGGGCTCTTGGCATCCGTGTATTGAATGGATTGGCACTCATTCTGAAATAAGAGCCGCTGTGTCCTGTCTGGTGCTCGGCATTGTGCTACGTACTTCCCGGGTAATCCCACCAGCCACTCCACGAAGTGGAGGTATTACCATTGCCCTTTTACTAGTGAGGGGCATGGGGCTCGGAGGAGTGAAGAAACTTCTGCTGGATACACAGGTAATAATTGGCAGAGCTGACGTGTGAATTTCTAGCTGACTGACCTCCAAACAGGTACCCCAGACCACCAGGATCCCCTCATCAGAAGTCAGGTCGTCCCCAGACAAGGTGTTCCAGTGGTGGCTAGGCTTGTGTCACTGCTGGGAGTCTAGTGAGGGACCGCATGCCCTCTCTGGCTGAGGCCCCACTCTCCCGACACAGGCTCGCACACCCTGACAGTCCCCACGTGGAGGCCCATGGAGCTTGGCACGCTGGCTGAGCTGAGGAGGTTTTTCATCGGCGGCTCTCTGGAACTGGAGGACCTCTCCTACGTGCGGATACCAGGAACCTTCAAGGTACCTTTTGTCTCAGGGCAGACTTCATGTTGGGAGCTTAGATTCCTATCTCTTCTGCAGAAGGTGGGATCAGGGTTAAGGCCCCTTTGTTGCTTCATTATTACTTAGTCCCTTCTTTCCCGTGGCTTCAGCTGGAGGTCATGGCCACATCTTAAACCAGGTACAGACATCTACACTGCTATCCTGGGAGATCTCGGGAAATGAGTAGATTTAAAGTCCTGTCAGAGTGACTGGCCTCTCCTTCCAGACCATCACTGAGGCTTCAGTCACCAAAGGCGGTGAGGATTGGCAGGCCTCTTCTCAGACTGCTTATTCTCAGCTGAGGTTGGGGCATCCCCTGATGTACGGTTGGGAGTCCCACGTTAGCCTTGAGGTGATGGAGTCTGGGTGCTGGGAGGAAGTTCCCCCCAGTGGATCTCTTTTCCAAGAGTGGGAGTAAGAATGGGTCTGCACAGTGCTTGGGGTCTAGAACCCCCAGAAACCTGACGCTGTCTTAACTGCATGCCTCAGGGGGAGCGTCTGAGCCGCTTTGGTTTCCGCACCGAGACCACTGGCAGCGTCACCTTCCGCTTGCACTGCCTACAGCAGTCCAGGTGAGTGACCCCGGCCCTCCACCTCGGGGAGCCTTACCCCATGGCTGGGCAGCAGCCCTGACCATGTGCTGGGCTTCTGTGCAGGGCCTTCATGGAGTCAAGTTCCCTCCGGAAAAGGATGCGGAGCGTGCTGGACCGTCTGGAAGGGTTCAGCCAGCAGAGTTCCGTTCACAATGTGCTGGGTAGGTTTCCCTCCACCCCTTAGCTGGCCATCCCGCATCGACACGAGCCCCACCTCTCCCCACACCACGGTGGCTGACCACTGCACTTGCTCCCCTCACAGAGGCCTTCCGTCGCGCCCGGCGCCGCATGCAGGAGGCCCGAGAAAGCCTTCCCCAGGACCTCGTGAGCCCCTCGGGGACCACGGTTTCCTAGCTCGCAGTGGCCCTGTCCCCCTTCCCCCCGTGCAACAGGAGAAGATGGGTGATGTTTGAGGCTGGTGTCGTCCTGCCTCTTCATCTTTCTCCCCAGCGACCCCACCAGCCTGCTGAGACCCAGAAGAGCAGAGAGTCCCAGGCCGGTGCCTCTGCCTACTCTTCGGCAGGGCCTCCCTCTGCCGGGCAGCGGTACCACTGGAGACCTGCAATCCCTCTCTGCATATTTCAGTTCCTGCAAGCGGCTGTCACGCCAGGGCAGGCTTGCTGGGTTAGCCCAGGGTGCGGGGACCCCACCATTAGTCCTGTCCTCACACAGCCTCTTTTCTGGCTTGTCTCGCTGTCTTGGGAGCAGAGAGCTGCAGGTGCCTCCTGCCTCAGAGCCTGCGTTACAAGTGGAGGCTCAAGAAAGGAAGAGGAACATTGGGGAGGGTATGTGCTATGGTGAGTGCTGTGAAGTGTGTAAACCTGGCGATTCACAGACCTGTACCCCTGGGGATAAAAATATATGTTTATAAAAAATAAAACTTCTGTAATATGAACTCTCTCCAAAAAAAAAAAAAAAAAAAGAAAGGAAGAGGAGAAGATCCTGAATGCCTGGCCCGGGAGACTCGGCCTCCTCTTTCCAGGGTAGCCTCCTTCTGCCACTCGGGGCTTGTTGGATTTGAGATACAAGGAAATGAAGGCTGAAGGCAGTGCCCAGTCCTTTCTGCTAGCCGGGTACTATCTTTTATTGTGTTTTTTGTACATAAAAATTTTTTGTGCTGACTAACATGTTGGCTGTTTTTCTGCTCAGGTTGCTGGCGTGGCCAGGATATTTTCCTGAACCTTCCCTTTTCTGTCCTTCCCCATTCAAGAGTGTCTGGAGTCAGCCACAAGAGAGACTTAGGGGTTAGTCCCAGTGGGGCCCTGGCAGGGCTCCTCTCAAATGTTTGGAGCAAAGCACGAGGCTGAGGCTGTGCCCTCCCCAGCCTAACGCAGAAACCACCTCTTGCCCTAAGCAGTCTTTTATTGGTACAAGCGGAGCTCACTGCCCGGCCTGCAGGCTCAGCAGAGGCTGGTGGGGCGGCTGGGTCCGGGTGTGCTGTGGGCTGCAGTCATGGCCGGGGGATGGGGACAGGCTGGGAAATAGCAAAAAGGTCAGAGACCAACCAGATGACTCTTCTTGCCGGGGCCTCAAGACCTTCTTGCACCCAGAGCCAATAGACCTAAGACCTACGAGGCTCCCAAGGTGGGCGAGTTCACTGCTGCCAGGAGCCCTGGCTGTTGCCCTGGCTGTCGCTCCCAGCCACAGAGCCAGCCATGAGCCAGAGCCAGCAAAAGCGTCAGCAGGTGCAGTTGCTCCAGGGGAGGAGGCCTCCTCGTGGTCTCCCCCAGGTTCCCTTGTGCCTGTGGCCGGAGGCTTGGGGTGGGGTCCTGTGGAACAGCAGACATGAGCAAGTGAGGAACTTGCTGGAGGTCTAGACACGGGGCTGTTTTAGGGTGCTGACGACTAAGCTAAGGCTTCCCGATTGCCCCCCAACGTCCTAGGCCTTGGATTAACTCTCTGTCCAGAAGCTAGCATGCCGGAAGCCAGCAGGGAAGACCACCCTGCCTCTGGTGACAGGTTTGGTTGTCTCTGCTTGGAAGTCTAAAAGGACTCAGCCATCTGGTCAGGGAAGGATGTTGGAGGAGGGCCGCCCCTTACCTGTAGAGGCCTCATGTGCCCCGCCAGGCTGACAGGTTCAGCTTCGGGATGGAGGTGCAGCTCACAAAGCCCCGCGGGTAGGTGTTGGCCCTGAAGATGTCCCTCGAAACGGTGGTGATACCGGTATTGTCACACACTATTCGAGACAAGGAAATCTTGCGCAATGCCTTGCGCTGTCTCTTGGTGAAAACACCCCGTTTTTCCCACCAGAACCTACCAAGACAAGTCAAGAGATGTAGGTGAAGGTCAGGGAGGAATGAACATAACAAGTACCTGCGGAATGCCCCGAACGTCACATTATTTCACTCATTTCTCCAGAATTCCCGCAAAAATTTATAAATGAAGAAATTCACAAATGAATTTATAGATGAAGAAACTGGTACAGCGGTCAAGGAAATTGCTCAGTATTAAGGGCGTAGTAATTTAAGCGGCCAGGGCTGGATTTGAACCTGGACTCAGGTTGTAAATGATGAGCTTTATTGGAAGGAAACCAGATTTAGTCCTTTCTGCCTATGTTTTCTGGGACCTACTGGCCAAACAGCTCAGGCACCATCAGCCTTGCCCAGCCCATGGTCTCTCTCACTCTGACCAGGCTCTCCGCAGAGGAGCCTCTTGGCCTCAGACCCTGTGAGCTCAGAAGAAACAAATCCAGAAAGGGCGCTTTCCCCCTTGCTGAGTCTTGACATGCTAGTGCTTTTCTGCCCTGTCTCTGGGGCTGGTCTCTTCAGGGGAGGGTCCCTTACCTGTCCCCATCTCGGGCTCTCCTGAACTGGTTTTCAAAAAGACAAGCCAGAAGAGGCCCCACTCGGGCCCCTGGCAAAAGAGGCTCGGCGATGGCCCCAATCCAGATGTCAATGTTGTCAGGTGTCCCGTACAGATTCAGGAACTTCCTCGCCAAACCCTGGTTTTGCAGCACCCGGCTGAGCTGTGCCAGGTTCCGGGGCTGGGAGAGCCCACAGAAGTGCCTCCAGGCATTGTACCCTGTAGGGAAAGGGGGTGGAGGAAGGTCAGTCTCACCCTGCTGACTTCCCCTTAGCTTCTGCTTCTCCACAGTTTCTCCTGAGAGAGCTCTGGGTTCAGGAAATGTCAGGCAGAGCAAGATCCCTGCTGACAGAAGAGACTGAACCTTCCAGAGATCAAACCACTGCCCTCTAGTTTCCAAAGTGAGTAGACAACCATGCTCTGTGTGCACCAAACTGAGGAGTGTGTCCTAATACAACACCTAATACCCCAGGGCTATTGGGCTCAAGTTCATCACTTAGGTGCAAATGAGACAGACGCAGAACATAAAAGACTCTTACTCAGATCTGGAGAAGGAAAGAATGAACAAATACATAGGTGAACAAACGAAGAAATGAAGAGCCTGGTTAAAGTTTACTCAGAAAAGGACCACATGCTGTATGATTCCATCTACATGAAAGGTCCAGAACGGGCAACCATGTAGACATAGAAAGATCAGTGATTGTCAAGGGCTGGGGTGGGGACAGGCAGTGACCGTTATTGTAAGGTTTCTTTTGTGAGTGAGGAAAATGTGCTGACATTAGCAATGGTGATCAGTGGGCCGAAGACCTTAACAGATGCCCACCCCGCAAAAAGAGCGATCAATGCACAACTCTAGATATACTGAAGTCATAGAATCGTATACTTCATATGGGGGAATTTTACGATATGCTAATTATATCTCAACAAAGCCATTTGAACATTTTTTTTCACTACCAAGGCCGGTCTTCTGATTTCTCTGCTATTAGGATCCCACCCAGGACCAAGCCAGAGGATGGGGCGGGGACCATGAAGAATAGGAGACAGATTTGCCCTAACCTTGAAGAAACACCTGCCCAATATTGTCCATTGAACTACAACTCACAAACACCATCCTCAGGGTGAGCAAAGGAAGATGATATAATGCTTGACCTCACTAAGCACTGGTCATGATCATATCTTAGGGTCCTCACAGCACCTCTGTGAGGCACTTTGTAATCTCCATTGTATCAATGGGTATTTGCCCAGCTTGAGCAACTGTGACTTTCTTCAGGTCACCCCATCAGTAAGTGAATTTCATACAAACTCTTCCAATTCTAAATTTGGTGTTGAACTTGGGAAGGGATTGGAGGAGACTGTGGGAGCTAGTGTCTGGACAGTATTTCTGGGACAGCTTGGAGGGCAAGGTGTGGCACCTGGGTAACTGGCAATCTCAGTTCTCCAGCAGGGGGCGCCCACGGCTCTTTAGTGGTGGGAACCCCCCCCCCCCCCCCACCATGTAAGGAGGCAAGAACAGGTTCTTGAGCACCAGCTGTGAGCCTACCAGGTGCTCTGGTAGGTGAAGTGGAGACTGCCCCCATCCCATTACACAGAGCCACAGATGAGCGGAGGCAGATGGGGATTCAGGTAGTAGACAGGAAAGTAGGGGAGGGGGAGAGGGGACAAGATGGTGAACAAAGCCTTCCCCTAACATTATGGCTTGCACAGAAGGAAGGAAGGAGACATCCTGAACCTGATTCAGATTTTACTACTTCCTAGTTATGTGGCTTCGAGAGGATGACTAGCTGTCTCTGAACTTATTTCCTCATCCATAAAAACGGCCGTAATAATTGCTTCTCAGGGTCATTGGCAGAACAAAATGATTAATAGCCATGAAAATTCCTGGCAAAGTGCTTAAGTTTTCTTCTTTCCTGGGATACACTTTTCTTCTTTCCTGCGATTTTTGTGTCCTCAGGAAACAGCCAAGGCTGTCTTAAGTTTACTCCACCTGGGTTCCTGCCTCTTGGGCTCTTTGCCTTTCTGCACTTAGAGCAAGGAGCCAGTTCCTATGTCCCCAGAACTAGAATCTTCCTCCTTGGAACTCGCCAGGGTAGCAGGGAACGGGGCACTTCTTCCCTGCCCTTTGACCCTACTGTTTTCTCCACCTAGGATGTCCTAATCTGCTTTGTCCACAAGCAGATCGTGTTTAGGTCGTGGCCATGTTGTGAACCTACAGCTAGAGGACCTACAGCAGGGGGCGAAGATGTGGCAGGATGGCAAAGGGTGGTCCCAGGGATGCTTTCCTTTCCTTTTCCGAGCTCGGCCTTATGTGCTTCTGAACCACAGCGCACGGGGTACATGGTTGCAGCCAGAAAGGATGCCCCAAGGGTCTCCTCTGAAACATGCCCCCGCCCCCAGCGGCAGCCCCAGGCCAAGCAGAGCCCTCACCTGGGAGGCCATGGTCCCGGCTGCGCTGCATGTTGAGAGCCGCCAAGTCCAGTCCGATCCTTCGCACCTGCTGAAACAGCCGGTCCCGAAGCTCGTCCACCAATATGGAATCCTGACGGTTCAGCTTGGCAGGGGTGGCCATGAGGCCTCGGATGATGGGGTCGATGCCACCTAGTGGCGGGAAATGTGAGCAGCAAGGACCGGATGGGACTCTGGGGAGACCCTGGGTCATTAGGAGGCCAAGCTAGCTCAGAGGGGGACAAGTCAGTGGCTTACATTCGGTAATGTTTGTATCAGGAAACAAAGGCCTGGGTAGACTTGAAGGGAGCTGAGGTTGGCAGGAAAAGAAGTCACCCTTACTTCTTGAAGAAGGAGCAGAAGACAACCTCCTACCCGGCCCACAAGCCCATCTGACATGAGTCTCCTTCCCTTTGGAAACTCTCTGATCCCTGAGGGGGTAGGAGGCCCAGGCCTGAGGGTCTTGGTGTACCTGCCTTGTACTGCCCTGGGGAGATGGTTAGCAGTGGCCTGAGCAGCAGCCCGGCCTCCTGGCACTAAGCTTGGCCCCA